AAAAATCAACGATCCTTTATTTGAAGGAGGGTTGAGGCTACATCCAAGGGTGCCAACTCAGAATCACACAAAACAACCTTTTAACAAACTCCGGGTAGCAATAGGAGCACATGCGGCCACAAACCACGCTGACAGGAAACAATAGACCAGCAAACACTGAGAGACAAGACAGGGCTTTATACACAAGGAGGGTGATCAAGGAGACTGGGAGCAGGTGTGACCAATTAACGGAGTAGGGAGGAAACATACGCAGGAGGCTGAAACTAACATGATAAAAAGACAATAAAGTAAGATGGACTAGAAGGTTGCTAAGGGAATAAACAAACACTGGAAAAGCCAGAACTCAAACAGAAGAACAAAAACCACTGAGCAAAAACTAGAGGGCTGGGGAATAAGTCTAAGAAAACTACAGGGAACTACTTCACCTGAAACTACAGAACTAGAGACACAGTAGGGCTGGGGAGACAATACCTAAACTACATAAACGACACCTGAAACACCAGAATAAATTAGAAACATTAGACCAGGTTGAGCGGGTTGTCCAGTTATCGGAAGGTTGCAGGTTCGATCCTTGGGCAAGACACTTAACCCACCTTGCCTGTGGGTGGGAGTCTGAGGGACCGGCAGCGCCAGTGCTCGGCAGCCTCGCCTGTGTCAGCGTGCCCCAGGGCAGCTGTGGCTATTGTAGCTCATCACCATCAGTGTGTGAATGTGTGTGTGACTGGATGAATGATACACTGTAGTGTAAAGCGCTTTGGAGTCCTCTGGCTCTGAAAGGCTCTACACATGCCATTTATCATTTATCCTAAAGAGACAAGAATCAAAAGAAGGAATGTAAATGACACAGCCAGGGAAGGAGACATGAAGGGAAGCAGGAGACCAGGACACGGGACCAGACACATATGACCTTGTCACTTGGGGAGTCCTAAGAAGATACTTTGTGAGAATGGGAAACTGGAACTCTTGATATGGGCTGTTAGGTCCCGGTATAGTTGTTGTCAGAGCTTGGTCCCCATAGCCAGCAGTAAATAAGGCTCATTTGCTGTGAGAGTTGGACTCCACCAAGGCTGCCCTTTGTCACCAATCCTGTTAATAATTTTTACAGACAGGATTTCTAGGTGGCCATTTTGATGGCCTGAAGAGCTTTATTTAGCAGATGATGTGGTCCTGTTGGGTTCATCAAACCGTGATCTCCAGTTTTCGCTTGAGAGGTTCACAGCCAAGTGTGAAGCACCTGGGATGAGATTCAGCTCCTCTAAATCCGAGACTATGGTCTTGAGCCATTCTCAGGTGAGGGAGGAGACCCTGCCCCAAGTGGAGGAGTTAGTGTCGGAGTTAGCTTGGTTTATGCTTGACGCATTCACTTTCCGCTTGGTGATGCGGCTCGCGGATGGAACGCGCTTCACATCTCGCAGCGTTTATGGTTCATGCGGCTTGTCTCTGCGGTGAGCCAATATTCTCCCAAAGTGAATGGGGCAGCATAGAGCTCTACGGCATGCACCCAATACTACACCATAGTAGAAGTAGAAATTACTGTTTACAACATGGCATTTCAGCATTTTTAACAGCATCCTCGTCTTTTCCGACAGTGCGAGCTATTTCTCTCCAAGAATTATTAACAACATGTTGATCCCGGTGATCTCTGAGAGCTGAATCATACAAATGTCTGTATTTACGAACCTCTGCCATACTAGTTCTTGCCGGTCCGCCATGTTTTTCCGCGTCCATCCATCCGTCCACGTGGTTACAAATTTTCCGAGGTGCGCATTGCGGAAATCTTGGGTCGTGCGGAGGTGGAGGGGCGTGGTTGTTAAAATGACGCAACATGACACAACTTTTCCGCGCGGAGCCGTGCGGACCTCGCTGACGCGTCAAGCATAAACCAACCTTTAGGATTCCCCCGGAGGAGCTGGTCCAAGTGGCTGGGGAGAGGGGAGTCTGGGCCTCTGGGTCCCTGTGACCCGACCCCAGAAAAGCGGAGGAAAATGGATGTAGTTATATTATAGTAATTGTATAGTTGTAATAAAGTTTATTAATAGCTGAACTATGGCTGTTACATTGCTGTAGTGGAGCAGCATTGAGGATTCTTGTGAATGCACTGCACACTGAGTTGACTTTGCTGTTTAAATAAACGGAACTGAACTTGTTGGGGTTGACTACTTCTGTGATTTATTGCCACTCATCATTAATATGCTAAATTGAGATCTATGTTGCTTTCAGGACACTTGGGTGGGTTTAAGCTGTGGTCTAAAGATGAATTTAACAAGAGAAAATGTAATCGTTTTGCCATTTTAATTTTAACAATCATAACAAAACATTCAAAACTTCTTTGGTCAAACCCCCTTGCATTCCCACCAAGCTCTTTTTTTCTGTATGAAGTCTAACGCTGTACATGAGGGCATGGATGTAATTTTCACTTTAGGGGGGGGGGGGGGGGTCTTTACACTATGTTCTAATGGGAAACAGGCTTCAACACAAACAGTTGTTTTCTGCTTGGTCCTAGAGCTCAACCAGTGTCAATTTAATATAGTGTAATATTGTTTTTGGATGGTAAAAAGTGCAGGGGTCAAAACTTGACTTTGGAAAAAGTAGGGGGGACATGTCCCCCATGTCCCCCCCAAAATTACGTCCATGCATGAGGGTCTCAGGAAAGTTTGCCCTCGTGTTTCGGACTGTTAGATGTCAGCTCTGTTTTCTAAGTTGCACCTGTGTCTGCACTTTTCTCCAGACGTCACCTTCACAGCTGAATGTCTGAATCTAATAACCAGTAAGTGTAACTGGTTACTGGGCAGCAAACTCAGTGCACACACAAGCAGATAAATCACCTCAGGAGGAAACCGTTTATTTCTGATCAAACTGAGCTCTATCCCTGTTAGTGATTCAGGCTCAGGTGTTTCACTCAGACTGGAAATGAACACATGAGAGGTTTTGGTTACATTTTCAGGTTTCAGCCGCTAAAATGAAGAAGGAATAACTACATCTACAACCCTTCTGCTACAAATAAATGACCACTGACAGATGAAGGGCTCATCTAGTCAGAAAAGCAGCTTTTGGGGCATCAGGCAGCAGTTGGAAACTGGATGAAGTGTAAAGCCTGCTTCACACTGAATGTGGAACAGGTGTGGTCCAGCGTCCGTACGGCTTCCTCATAGATTTATCAGACGCTGCTTGACATGAAGAAAAAAAAAAAGCACGAGCCAGACAGGAAGTGAGATGTGTTTCAGCGAGGTGCATTTGTTAGAATTTAAAAGAAAAACTCGTGTTGCTTTCTTTTTGCTGGCTTTATGAATGACAGGGATATCTGTGGTGTTCTGTGTCCCTGTGGTCCCCAGCCCCTTCCATGTTCCCTCTAATCTCTTCATTTCTAGTCGTCCCATCTCGTTTATTGTTAGTCTGAACCCGCTCCTCTTTTAGGTCCCTCTAGTTCCCCAAGTTACAATGTAGTATTTGGTTTCAGAGACCCCCCCCCCCCCTCCCCCACCCCCCCGTGACTCCCATCAGTTTACACTCCCCTCACACCTGCTTCTTGTTTCCCTGATCGCTGCCCTGGGTATTTAAGTCCTTCTTGTCTTCCGGGTTTGTTGCCTGACTCTCCTGTCAGTGTGCTTTGAAGCCTTGTGTGTTCCAGTTTTTGCCTCCTGTGAGGAGTTCGACTTTGCTCCCTGGTCTTTTGAGCCTTTGGATATTTTGTTCCCCCGATGCTCCTTAAATAAAAGGACTTGTTTTCCACACCTCATCTCTCTGTGTAGTTCTGGGTACCTGCACACTGGGTCCAACCTCCTCTCTAACCTGACACGATCAGTTCACAGTTACATTTATAAACATACTGTGTCAAATTTCTAATCGTTTGGTGCTCTTGTGGGAGCAGATATACGGAGATGTTAATCACAGGAACCGTGCTCAGCGTGAACGGCAGTCCGTCCAAAGGCCTTGCGGAAACTGGACCTCCTCCATACCTGTTACGCCCCTCTACTGCATTCGACAGGTGAGGCCACATTTCAGGCAAAGTGCTTCAGATCAGACTTATATTCCACATGTGACCCATATCCGATTATTTTTAAGACAGTCTGAACAGCACAGGTCCAAATTTTTCTCAAATACCATCCAGGTGACTTCCATATGTGGTACTGAATATGAAGCGCCTGATGATTGTGAACAGACTTCAGTCTGAAAGGACATGTCGCATTACAGCGGGCGCTTTCGTCACGAGTCAGCGGAGGTTTGAAACTCCCGAGGAGCTGTGTCTGGACATCCTGACCTTGTGGATGAACTGCTGTCAGTGAAACTTTCCACATCACAACTCCACCTCTCCTGATTCTGACTCCACAGAGCACGTTGTGTGCGACTTGTCTTGATCTGCGCACACAAGTCATTTTAGGGCCGCGAACCATTCACACTGGAGCGTATGAACATAGCCCTAAAAGCAGGAAATCCAGATGAGTCCGTTTGGAGACAGCCACATTCTGTCATGCTAGGTTCTGCGAAGAACAGTTTGGAGACGTCTCCCACGTTGCTAAGATTGTGTTTCTGTTTATCAAGCGTTTTGTCGTTCCATGAGCCGTCTCCCAGAATCGGGCCGCTCTGGTCTCTGACATAAACGCACAGACTAGAGATCAGAGAGAACGGGCTTCACAGAAGGAACTGGACTAAATACGCCTCAAACTGGTAAAACGGTTAAACGTCTGAGGGGAGGCTCGATAGCCTACATTGTCTGACTAAAGTAAAAAAAACAACCAAACAAACATCTGGATGGAGTCCGCCACCATCACCAAACACACCCGTAAATGTCACAACTTGGTTTTTCGTCTTCGTCTTCGTCTTCCTCCGCTTATCCGGGTCCGGGTCGCGGAACAAAACAACTTGGTTTTTATCACATTTAATATGAGTTCAGATCCTCTGCGGAGTCCCACGTGTTGGATGTGAACGTATGTGGCCGGCCTTTGACCTTTGTCTGACCTCTTCAAGGAACAAGGTGGAGAATAAAAGCAACAGAAGACAAGTGATGTTAAAATGAACATTTATAATGACTCTTTGTTGCCGTCGCAAAAATAATCTTTAAAAAACAATTCAATTGTTAACACTGAAATGCTGACTTCACTGGTAGTCCACGAGTCATATAACACAACTCACTGAATTTCTTTTACAAACACAGTACTACAGTTACATTAAATAGTCATTATCAATAAATCTATTAATGAATAATGTTCAAATCAACTAATAAAAACAATGACGTTTAAAATCCTCTCATTCCCTCACCGTAGTGCCTGTTGTCATTTAATCAACAGTTCATTAATTAGAAAATATACTGCTTCTGAGATGTTTCTGACAAAAGCAGAAAACAGACTGGCAGCATAACAATGATGGGGCATGAGCGGAGACGTTGCACGTATAGGTGATGTTTTAAGGGGAGTGGAAATGGAACGGGACCGATCTTACAGTGATGTCGGCTGGCTGCCTTTTGGCTCAGTGTGGAATTATTTGGCACTCTTGCTGACAAATATATGCCATGAAAAGCTTTCTCACTTCTTCAAGAATGGCACAAGTAGGCGTTTTTTTTTTTTTTTTGTATTTAAACATGTTCAAAGGACTCTTGATTTAAAAGACATTTAAATGCTCTCTAAGAAAGCCCTTTTAGGTAGTTTATACTCCGGACTTTCACAGATTCTCCCCACTTGTGACAAAAGAAAGACAGAAACATTTTCATTAACAGCAGAGAGAAATGTACCCAATCATCAAAAACATCACTTTGCTTAAACTGGAACTATCTGATGGTATGCTGTCAGTCCATTTTTTTCTAAGATGGAACAAACAGAAGTTAAATAACGTAAAAGCAAACCCCAAAGGAAGATAAAAATGTCTGCAAGGCTCAGATATGCTTTCTTCATTTTATACACAAACGAGCATTTCACCTTGCAGGAGAGTCGGGATGACCACGAAACAGAAGAACGGTTCTTGCAGAGTTCGACGGTAACATCTCCAACACGTGTATGAGTAAAAATGAGTTCTTGGCAATGAAGGTCAACAAAGTTCATGGGAGGTTCAGAGGGTCAGAGACATAAATGACCTCATGTGTGGTTGGCAAAGTGTCCCATTTTTCCCCAGAAAAAAACCTGAACCCGTTTAAAGGGTGGACACAGTAGCAGGTTCTCGGCGTAATGCAACTCAAGTTGTGGTATCGCGGGTGAGACTCAGGTAGAATCGGTTTAAAGAGAGGAGTGAGCAGCCAGTTCATAGCGTTTCAAACCAGTCCTTGTCTCCTCGTGAAAGGCTCCATGGGGCGCGTGACAGTCCGGGATTGAGTAGAAACCAAATCAAAACAAACAAGGGGAGTATAGGAACGATCCTGTAATTTGTCTGGAGTTCGAATGTGGAGCAGAAAATAAACAAAAAGGGCTTTGTGACACAAAACAACGAGGCAGACGTACCATGAAGTCAGAAGGCCTTCATCTCTCATCCTTTCCATGCAGACCAGAGACTTTCTTCCTGTTGCTGGTGACAAATATGCCTCACGGACCTGACTCCTCACCCTCCACTTCAGTCCAGTGGTTCTAATCGTGTTTGCTGACAAACCAGTCACCTTGCTTTGTTTGAAATGTAACATTGAAATGTTCCAGCCAACTGACAGCAGCAGGGAATGTGGCGGAGAAGCTTTAGAGTGAAGAAACAGCTGCTACTTTTATTCTGTCTGAGACTCCAGCCCTGTCCATCGTCCTCCAGACCCAACAGCTTCGGGAAACAACAGATTAGAGAAACAAAAATGACAGTAAAGCAAAAGAAACGAGCTGTGGAAAGCCAACGCGATTTGCTTCATTTCACCCCCGCACGACCCACCCATCGTTAAAGTGCATTTATGCAACACCAAACAAACAAGAAAATGTTGACAGCGGATCGGAAGTTGTGTTCACGTGTCTGATTCATGACTGTGGCCGTGTGAGGCCTACCTGACTATAGCTGAAGGATGTTCCACATAGATTTTAACTTTACACGTATATCTGCCCTGAATTTACATTAAAGACAAATAAACATTCAAGAGAATAAAAAAAAAAAAAAAGAGTAAATGAGTACATTCATAGATTAGATCTGGGCTTTCAAGCTGCAAGATGAACGATATCAGAAACTTTTATGAGACAAGTTGTGTGACGCTGAAACGGTAAAAGAGATGATCTCCTAAAACGCAAAGAGCCAATGCACTGAGTAACATTTTCACGTTTGCTTGTTTCACATTTTTAAAACTCCTCACGGGACCTAAAAAACTAAATATCTTCTCTGGTGATGAGAGAGAGAGAGATGACCTAGACTGAAGAGAATCCTCAGATGTGTGTGTGCGCGCGCGCGCGTGTGTGTGTGTGTGTGTGTGTGTGTGTCTTTTTTCCGGCCAACATGAAAAAATGAGCTCCCTCCCAACTCACAACATAAACACCTTTTTTTGAACATGAGGTGATCGAACTGAAGAGCTTTACATCTGACTGCATGCAGCGTTTATGTCTTTGAATGTTGCGAGACTCCTCGCAGATTTTTATCTTTTTTTTCCTCCATAATTTTACTTTGATACCATGCAATAGAAGACGTGCAAAAAGATAACACCTAACTCCACGAACACATTTTGATTGTTAATGGCTATGTTATGGATGCTTATAACATGTTATGCTTAGTCCATGCTGGCCTATAGAGACATTAGTGAGAAAACAGCAGTACTTAAGCCACAGGTCAAACAAACACACAAGGGATGCATGGAGTGTAAAACGACATGGTTCATAAAAATCACAATCTTTAACTCTTACTCTATGTACCTATGGGGTAAAACAATGCACAGAAAGCTCTTTGTCTTTTGTTTTCTTAAGTAATGTATTTGATTATCTTTTCTCAACTTAAAAGACAATGTTTGGCACTTGATCAGCACTTCTAAACAAGTTATTGATATCTAACATTTGATCGCACATCTACAATTTCAGAAGCTGCGGAGGTCTAGTTTGGCACAGGTCATACTATGGAGTCTATTATTACTTTTACTATCTTACCAGTACGGTATAGTCCTCTATACACCTCCTGTGATGCTCTCGTCTGTCGGAGCACGTCTCTAATCAACAGAACAGACATCTTTTCAACTAAAATATTTTGTATAGTTTACTTATCAAATAGCAGCATTTTCATAACTTACAAAAAAGTACGTGTAAACCTATTCATTCAAAATCTTAGTAATTTCAAAGGTTCATACAACAGACATAAAACACAAAACAGGACAACATGCTACTATATTGCTTCCAATATTCTTAACATTTTCTTACGGTCAAACTAAATCATCAGTGACAGGAATATGGACACCACCGCTCAATGATGAGTCTTTATAATGCACAAACGAATCGCGAAGCTAATCTTAGTCAGGCTTAGTTGGCACTCTCATCATCCACACAAATATAACATAGTTTCACATTTTATCGACAACGCGGGACTGCATTTGGACTACAAACTAGAATAGCTACAATAAAGTACATATAGATCAAATGACATGACATATTGTTTTCCACAGAAAGGATTTCTAGTCGTTTTCAGATAACAGGATATGCATAAAGGATGTCATTGTTTCGGCTTAAGGTCACCAACCCCTTCCTACGTTGCTCTCCAGCGATCGAACGTCTGAACTGTTCTTCCTTTAGAGGCTGAAACTCCAGCTAAGCCACCATTTTGATATTTATTTAACCACGATTGGCCTCCTTTGGGAGGGAGAAACAGATTATCTCTTCATGTAAAAGACGAACGATGTCTAAATGTGATTTGTTCTTCGCTCAGATTTAACCCTTTGAGCAAAGATTGCCGGTTGATCTCTGTGGGTGTCACAGTTTTGGAGGCAGGTGTGTTCTGTGCATTTTGGCCTTGTGAACGCTGCAGCCTGGGAAAACATTTTCACACCCCTGTGACCTGTAGTGCATAACTCCCACCCGTGGCACATCCAAGGCATCGCCCGTGAGACTACGAGACGAGAGGAAGGAGAAAGAGGGGGAGAGAACCGTGTAGGAAGGAGCACAGATGGGGTTCTAGGAGACAGGAAGAACCACAGAACAGAGAGAGCATGCAGGGGACTAAGATGTCGAGAGAAAGAGGAAAGCTAATGAGGGGCAGAGGAAAACGGCTTTTGGCACAACGTATCGATCAGAGAGCCCTGGAGGGGAGCTCTCCGGAGTCAAACAGTCCAGTTGCATTGATAAAACACCCCCTTGTTTTGTGCTTGTATTTTATTATATGCTAAAATCTTGGGCAGTAAAGGGTTATCTTACACAATGATTTCACTGGTGGCCAGATTGGATTTGGACGAATGTGAAGCCTTCCATACACACAGCGAGAGGAGAGATTTCTGAGGAGGCTCACTCCTGTGATTGCTACGCCTCATGTTCAGCAACAGGAAGTTGATTTACATCCATTTACTTCATACGCAGGATTTATGCAAGTGAGAAGGTCTGTTTCGTAAGTTTTCATAAGACTGGAGTGTCTGATTGTGTTCGACACAACTCAGCACCAACCCTCACAGCGTTGTATTAAACACGCTGATCATAGAGCTTGGGTTGATGGGGACAGCTGTCAATGTCTTTTGAGCAAAGGGAGGTGGGCACACAGAGAGGACACAGAGCGGGGAGGCAAGAATTCGTTTGAAAATCAGAAAATGTTCACTAATTTAAGTGCAGCATGTTCATGAACAAAAACATCACAAGACGCTGCCGTAGAAATGCTCTTGTGCAGATTTCCCCTCCGTCGTTATTGATAGGTCTTGTGACATAGATGTGCACATTATGACATACTTGTGTCCCAAAGAGGGACGGACACACATTATGTGTGTTGGAAATGCATCACAGTGCAGTCTTCAGAGACTCAGTGGACTCAGAATGGATGCTATGGATAGCAGCACAGAGGGGACACGAGATCATTTCACATTTAGCCAGCCACTGTTCAACAATCAGCAAGGAAAGACTAAAAATGTTTGATGTTTTATTACGTGCTCCACTCGAGCTGCAACACGTGTCTGGAACGCTGTCTGCATCAAGAAAAAACACCAAACCAAAAGAGGATTTTGCTGTGTGAACAGCAAAATCCTCTTTTTGTTTAGTGTTTTTTCTTGATGCTCACAGGGAAGTGACTCCAAACCTCCCATGCGAGCGCCATTCTCCTCCCCTCCTGTCAGTCTGCTGCCCTTAATGTAAAGGCAATAGTTTCTTTGTTCACACATTTTGATTCATACAGCTCATCAAAATGCCTTCATGGTGCTCTGTTCCCTTTGCAAGCTGAAGGAGTTGAACACTGCGTTCAGGTCAGCAGAACCTTTAGCTAAATCTGGGACGTGGCGAATGTCTGGCTGAGGCAGAAACTGCTTCAGGTGTTTTCTGTTGCACAAGATTCAGATTTGATCAGAAAAGAATGCTCTAGAATTCTAACAAAGTTCTGAATCAGTCTCCGTCATCAGGCGAGAGGCTGGGTCAGCTCCAGGGAGCTACCGATGGCTGGCCGACACATCAGCTACGCTATCCAGGTAAAGATTTTAGTTTCATGACGAACCTAACCCTATAGCACCAAGAACGGGTCAAACATGTTCTGCTGTGTTTGTAGCTGTGGCTGAATATGCAAATGTTTTAGTCTTTGTGCGTTTCTGGGAGCGTTTTCTACGAGTGTTTGTGTAAATAATATATTTATACATTCCTGTGTGTCTCCTCGCCCCTCTCACATTGATTATTCAACCCCTGAACTATACTTGCAGACAGCGATGGCAAAGTTCAGACTGGATTTGGGTTATACATTTCTTTCACTGCAACACATCCCTGTAAATAAAATAGCAATAGGCTAATATTGTTTTTACATTCATATCAACCTGCTTTTACAGGTTTAATTGATCTATTTGTGTTTGAATGAGACCGTGTCAATAAATTAAGAATGAAAATATAAAATACCTCAATTTAGAAACTTCAATTATGATATGAGCTCGAATTCTACATACGCCAACTTGAACTTTCTCTTTCTCTTAAGAATTTACTCTTGTTTTGTTTCCCTGTAGACGGAAAAGAGCTCAGGTGCTGTGTGATGAAACCTCCCCCGTTAATGCATTCTGCACTGAAAACAAAAGGATGCTCTGGTTAGATCGTCTGACACGCTCAGCTCGCTGGATGCTGAGGTTTAAAACCACCAAAATCAGACAACCAACCCCCAAAATAAAAACAGAAATGAGGTTTTGGAGGAGGGTGAGACCCTGCGGTCACACTCTTGAATCTGCAGCTTGGCAGTGGACCAGTTCAGCTTACTCTGATCGCCATGGTCAAACAAACTTGACACAAACTTTTTAAAAACATCAGGACGTCAGTCCTAAAAACACACTCACATGTCACACACGCTTATCTTTGTTGTCTCCCCCACCTCCTCCTTTGTGATTCTTTCATTGTATACTGAAATATTGAACATAGATTTGGATTTTTTTTTTTTACTCATCACGACTCAATTTCTTTCTTTTTCTGTCTTCACTCTTGTTATATTCTTCATTTTCATTTTAGCCCACCTTTTGTGGGTTGGTAGCGCGTACTCCCTGCTCGTACGTGATCCGCTGGCTGATCAGATACTGTGCAGCTTGTGTGGCGGCTGGCGACCCTGTTATGGTAACTTTACGGTTCCGAGTACCAGGAATGAACTCTCCCTTTTTGGAGATCTGGATGCGGGCTCCTGTCAGCTCCTGGTACTCTACCAGCGTTTTCCCTCCTTTTCCCAAGATGGCACCCACCAGATTTTCGGGGACAGCTATTTCAACCACGTCCTTGGCCCCGTCTGCCAGCTTCTCTGTTGCCAGCAGGGATGAGGCCATTAATGGGGATGAAGCATTTAGGTAACCATTGGAAGCCCCAGTAGCAGCTGCTAGTGAACCCAGGGAGAACCCACTGAGGCCGGTAGCAGGGTGCCCAGCACTGCCAGAGGCATCATTAGCATAGGAGGCCAATAGGTTTGCTGCTGCTGCAGCAGCAGGGTTTGCACTAGCTGCAACCGCAGCAAGGACTCCAGAGGCAGCTGCAGGGTTGAGGCCCAGGCCCAGGGTGTTGGTGTTGTAGCCGTAGCTGGCCAGTGTATTCAGAGCTGAGGTGATGGCCAGTAGGTCATTGCCAGAGAAACTGGACATGGCAGCAGGGAAGGCACCCATTCCTGTCAGTCCGGCTTGGCCCAGAAGGCTCGAGGCAGTGGCAGCCGCTGCAGCTGCGTTGGGCAGCACCTCAGCTGTGTTAGCGTAGGGGGAGCCGGTAGGGTTGGAGTTGGCTACTGGACCAGAGACGTTGGAATAGCTGATATTGAGGCAGCTGCTACTCTGAGGATCCTCCTGGATTTTCTGCACAATGATTTCCACAGCTTTACGGTTCTGCTCGGGTTCCCCACTGATGGTCACCACTCGCTCCTGCAGATTGATGCCTTCTGGTTTCTGAGAGAGCTGCACCCAAGCCCCTGACTGCTCCATTACTGCTTTCACTGTGGCTCCACCCTTGCCAATGATCAGCCCTGCTGTACTATTGGGCACAATCAATTTGGCCTGCAGAGAAATAGAGAGATTGTGGTAGAAGAAGAAGAGAAATAAAAAAACAGACAGTAAAAAGATAGAGGGACATCTCTCACTGACACAGAATACTACACCAACCCCCACTTTACTCAGCAATTTGTTAATCCCGCGGGTTTAAGCTGCAGCTGCCACACGGCTCTGTCTAGCTATGAAAGACTGTAGGTAAAAATAACTACATACACTCACATTTTCCTGACCCTGACCAACTGTAGGTCATAGACCACAGAGGAGAGCTGCTTCTACCTCAAAACAAACACAAAAGCCTGTGTTTGTTACACAGAACTAGACATTCCAGTAAAAATGACTCACCACACAGTTCAGCATTTGTCCAGAGCTCGCTTCACCTAAAGAACAGCCTGTTGATAAAACTAACCTATGTGACGCTAAATGGGACTTCAGCGTCCATCCTTGATTTGTTTTGACCTCTTCAGTCCTGCACGGACGACACAACATCTAGTAGCTGTCACTGCTGATCATTTTCACACCAGTACTACCAGTAGATGGTCCTGACTGGTCTGACATCATTTCCTGCTCTAGTTCCAAACACTCAACTTAAAACTTGTAATCCTTGCCGGGATCCAGCTGCTATCAGGGATGAAATGGCAAAGCTGACTGATCAGAATCTCACCTGTTTGACGCGATCAGGATTTACTGTGGTCTGTGGTTGTAGTATGCTGACTGGTTCTGGTTTCTGGGCACTCTGGGGCATCTCACGGACTTTCTCCGCAATAAAGTTGTGAACACTATTGAGAGCTTCGACGGTGCCTTGTATCAGACAGACTCTTTCTGTTGTTCCTGCAATAAAAGAGGCAGAAAAGGACAAACGTAACTTATTGGGTACTCTGATGTCATCTGAGTGGATACTTAGGAGGCAGATTTGAGGGATGAACTTAAGGCTGGACATACTGAGGTTTCTGCAGTAAATAATGGCCCTTGACATCTCATGAAGGTGTTCCTCAACTCCCCCATTTACACAATCAGCAGAGAAACAGCTGAAAGACCGAATGCTGCTTAGTAAGTGAGCCACATGGGGAGAAGGATTCCTTCTCAATGATGTAACACTTACACTGCTGCACCGCTGTGCCTGTCCTTGTTTTTCAGCATTATTAGACTAAACACACATTTGTTCTTCCTCTAAGCTTCTTTCTACACCCACACTGACAACCCAACTGGCATTCTGTTGCCATGGTGAAAGGACCGAGCCGTGGAAACAGGTGATGGAACACCAAGTTCTTTATCCTGGTGTGCACGATTGTTGCAACTGTCCTTTTGGCATTCACCTTATTGACTTGATCTTAGTAACATTTGACTTTCTTTTGAAAGGATGTAACATATATTAATTTCAGTTGCCAGTTAGAAACACAGCTGAAGTGTGAGGGGGGGCTTGAGAGAGACGAACACTTTCTCCCACTGACTGTCATATTTGTGAATGGGAAAGACCGCCTGATCAGAAGTTCTTTAACAATCATGCTCGACACATCTGCATCCATCTCTGGTCCATTTATCAGCACTTAGAAAAGGCTCAAGTGGATTCTGAGGAAATCAAACCTTGTCGTACTTGATGACTCTGTGTCAAAGACAGTGCTGCATGATGAGCTCAGGCAGTCTATTGGTACAGAGATGAAAATGCAAACTTTAGAAATGGAGGTCATGAAACTCATTAGACGTGTTTTTGACATCAGACATGCAGCTCACACAGGAATATCATTAGATAGCAGCTGTCAAGCTTCATACTGCCAAAATATTTTCCATCATCAGTAAAAGGACCAAATAAATGAAAACAATTCAAAGTTAAACAGAAGCAGACCTGCTGTCAATCAAAATGTGACAAACCAAACCAAACAGGCTACATCCTGACATTATTTATTCAATTTTACACAATTCAGCAATAAACACACATTTATCTTATAAATAATAAAATAATGCTTTATTAGGATCCCTCCTTAAGTGCTCCACATCATCAACGTCCCACCATCAACAGGCAACTTTAACATGACAAAAATTCGACTTCTTCTCAACATTAAAATGCAGCTAAACATAAGCGGTAAGCTAGGCGGGAATTACATATTTCAGGGTGTCCTTTTATTGAGGGCAGTCGAAGGCACACCTGTACATTATTATAGCTGTCTAAAGCCCCTTGATATACCACACCTGTGAGGTGAGATGGATTCTCTTGGTAAAGGAAAAGTGCTCACTAACACACATGTAGACAGATTCCAGAACAATATTTGAGAGTCATGGGTGTTCTGTGTATGTAGAAAAAGTTTCAGATGTTTGAGTTCAGCTCATGAAAAATGTGAGCAAAGACAAAAGCGTTGCATTTATGTCACTGTATCTTTTGAGTTTCCAGATTAGATTGTGGTGAATCTGATGGTAAATGACAACCCTTTCTCTAAGAACTTCTACTTATACATTCGTCAAAACCAAATTCAAGCACTTTCAAGGCTTCTTAATACCTTACATTTCTGATAACCCACACATGCCTGAAGAGTACATATAAGCCCAAAACTATTAATTTTATTTCGTGATGGCTAAATGTTACTAAGCTCTCACTAGATACAAGTTTCAAGCCCTTAAAATGCTCATTAAGACTCAGGCCTTTTCAGGGAGCTGCATTATCATGGTCTTCTAGCCTTTAGCTGCATGGTCATGGTCTTCTAGCCTTTAGCTGCATGGTCATGGTCTTCTAGCCTTTAGCTGCATGGTCATGGTCATCTAGCCTTTAGCTGCATGGTCATGGTCTTCTAGCCTTTAGCTGCATGGTCATGGTCTTCTAACCTTTAGCTGCATTATCATGGTCTTCTAGCCTTTAGCTGCATGGTCATGGTCTTCTAGCCTTTAGCTGCATGGTCATGGTCTTCTAGCCTTTAGCTGCATGGTCATGGTCTTCTAACCTTTAGCTGCATTATCATGGTCTTCTAACCTTTAGCTGCATGGTCATGGTCTTCTAGCCTTTAGTTGCATTGTCATGGTCTTCTAGCCTTTAGCTGCATGGTCATGGTCTTCTAGCCTTTAGCTGCATGGTCATGGTCTTCTAGCCTTTAGCTGCATGGTCATGGTCTTCTAGCCTTTAGCTGCATTATCATGGTCATCTAGCCTTTAGCTGCATGGTCATGGTCTTCTAGCCTTTAGCTGCATGGTCATGGTCTTCTAGCCTTTAGCTGCATGGTCATGGTCTTCTAGCCTTTAGCTGCATGGTCATGGTCTTCTAGCCTTTAGCTGCATTGTCATGGTCTTCTAGCCTTTAGCTGCATGGTCATGGTCTTCTAGTCTTAAGCTGCATGGTCATGGTCTTCTAGCCTTTAGCTGCATGGTCATGGTCTTCTAGCCTTTAGCTGCATTATCATGGTCTTCTAGCCTTTAGCTGCATGGTCATGGTCTTCTAGCCTTTAGCTGCATTATCATGGTCTTCTAGCCTTTAGCTGCATGGTCATGGTCTTCTAGCCTTTAGCTGCATGGTCATGGTCTTCTAGCCTTTAGCTGCATTATCATGGTCTTCTAGCCTTTAGCTGCATGGTCATGGTCTTCTAGCCTTTAGTTGCATGGTCATGGTCTTCTAGCCTTTAGCTGCATGGTCATGGTCTTCTAGCCTTTAGCTGCATGGTCATGGTCTTCTAGCCTTTAGCTGCATGGTCATGGTCTTCTAGCCTTTAGCTGCATGGTCATGGTCTTCTAGCCTTTAGCTGCATTATCATGGTCTTCTAGCCTTTAGCTGCATGGTCATGGTCTTCTAGCCTTTAGCTGCATGGTCATGGTCTTCTAGCCTTTAGCTGCATGGTCATGGTCTTCTAGCCTTTAGCTGCATGGTCATGGTCTTCTAGCCTTTAGCTGCATGGTCATGGTCTTCTAGCCTTTAGCTGCATGGTCATGGTCTTCTAGCCTTTAGCTGCATGGTCAAGGTCTTCTAGCCTTTAGTTGCATGGTCATGTTCTTCTAGCCTTTAGTTGCATGGTCATGGTCTTCTAGCCTTTAGTTGCATGGTCATGGTCTTCTAGCCTTTAGCTGCATGGTCATGGTCTTCTAGCCTTTAGCTGCATGGTCATGGTCTTCTAGCCTTTAGCTGCATGGTCATGGTCTTCTAGCCTTTAGCTGCATGGTCATGGTCTTCTAGCCTTTAGTTGCATGGTCATGTTCTTCTAGCCTTTAGTTGCATGGTCATGGTCTTCTAGCCTTTAGCTGCATGGTCATGGTCTTCTAGCCTTTAGCTGCATGATCATGGTCTTCTAGCCTTTAGCTGCATGGTCATGGTCTTCTAGCCTTTAGCTGCATGGTCATGGTCTTCTAGCCTTTAGCTGCATGGTCATGGTCTTCTAGCCTTTAGCTGCAGGTTGCTAACGGTTTTATCCCAGTTCCCGCTAGAGAATTCTGCTGTTGTGTCTTTGGGCAAGACTCTTAACTCACATTGCCTGCTGGTGGTGGCTGGATCGATTGGTGGAGCATGTGCTTGGAAAGCCTCACCTCTGTCAGTGTGCCCCAGGGCAGCTGTGGCTACATTGTAGCTCATTCCCACCAGTGTGAATGTGTGTGTGAATGAGTGTGTGATACACTATAGTGACTTTGGAGTTCTCTGACTCAGAAAGGCACTATACAAGTGCAGGGTGTTATTATTTAAAGGCATCACAGAGTGCTTGCCAGGATTATCTCAGGGAGAATGACATGCAGGTGCTGATGGAAGCAAATTTCATGAAACTTTTTCCTATCGAATAACTTACATTAAAATTGTTTTCTCTGCGCACAGATAATGTTTAAAGTTTAAATGCATGATAGGAGAAATGTGATGCTAGCAACCTAAATGACCTTTTTTATTAGGGGGACCCTACAGTTATTGGCATTAGTTTATATCAGTATCGGAAATTTAAAGTTAGACAATATCAGGGTTTTTTCAGATATTGGTTAAAAAGTCCTGCATCGCACAGCCCTAGAATTTATTGATAAATCAAAAACAATCGAATATCAAAATATCCTTCAGTGAAAAAAAAGGTGTTTGAAAACCAAATATGGGCTTGTACATTTTTTGTAATGTGTTGAATCCTTTCAAATCACATCATGAATTGTACTGTATAGAAAATTGTCAAATCATTTAAAAATCGCCAGCAGGAATGAATCGTATTGAATTGTATGGGCAGAGGGTTTCACCGCATTGCTAATGTATTGTATTGCTGATAGCGTCTCGAGATGCTAATCGAATCGGCCTCAGTGCTGGGGATTCCCATCCCTAGTACTTGCACTGCTATTCTATTTTTAACATGCTACGATTCCAAAACAAGTCAAGCTCAGCAGTTCAGGTCAGCAAGTCAAACACAAAAGCAGGAGAAAACATCTGTAAACCTAAATTAAAGTCAGGTACAAATTTCCAGTTGTATAGTAGAAGAATGTTATTACCTATGAAACCTCTACAGAACAGAAAATCATCCACAGATTTTTCTGGATTCATTCTGGATCAGTCTCTCCTTGCTCAAAATCACGTGCGATCTCACCAGATCACGCGTGGCCCTATAATTCTCTGATGATTTAGTGACCTCGCGGGTCCAGCTGCATCCAATCCTTTCGCTGCCGTTTTGCATCTAAAACGCTCCTGGTGGGAAGGGAGCTCACAAGTAAAACACACCTATTACATTACGTGCCAATCACGCATCCAGTGGAAAGGATGGGTATCTCACCCTTATGGTCACATCTGTTCACAGCTGTTTGATCCAGGCCAGGTTCACTTGTATCTTTTATTGATCTGTTGGATCACAATTCAAAAACGCTGACTGATTTATTTTCCTTTGCTTTTTAATCAGTAATACTTTGTC